CAACGAACGCAAGGAAACATCACGGTCGCCGTATTCCTTGATGTCCACCGAGCATACGACACAGTGAGTCACGTTCACGTTCTGGAAGGCCTGGCGTTACAGGGATTCAAGGGCAAGATACTGCGTTGGATCGCTGACTTCCTGAAGCACCGGAAAATTTTTGTAGTTTCGCAGGAGGGCCCAACGTCAGAACATGTCGTCAACCAAGGAGTGCCAGAGGGCAGCGTGCTAAGCCCTACTCTTTTTAATGCAGTCATGGCGCAGCTCCCGTATAATCTTCCACCTAACATCAGATGTTCAGTATATGCTGATGATATAAGTATATGGACGTCTGGTCCATCGTTTTTGGATGTACAACAAACTCTACAAGAAGGATTGTATTAAGTAGACCATTTTCTAAAAAAAAGAGATATGACACTGAGTCTGGCTAAAACAGCCATACTTCCGTTTACACTATAAAGACCTGGAAATTTCCAGATTATTCTGCAAAATCAGCCTATTCAAATGGTTAAAACTCATAAATTCTTGGGAGTAATTTTAGATCGGAGACTAACATGGTCGCCTCATGTACAGTACCTGGAACAAAAAGTGAATCAGGCCATTCGAATCCTCCGGCATCTCTGCGGGGCCAAATGGGGTGGTACTACAGAGTCGTTATTAGCCCTACATGTTGCCTCGATACGGCCCATCGTAACTTACTCACTGCCTCTGCTGCACGGACTCCCAGCCTCCACCGAAAGGAGACTTCACTTGTTATTGGCAAGGAGCTTGAGGGTATGTCTGGGTTTACCACGGTCAACTTCCAGTGCTTTAGATGTATGCGGAGGCGCGAGAGCCACCTTTGGCAGTACTCCGAACTAAAGAAACATCTCGAAATTTATTTAGAATTTTCACGCAACATGAAAGTCATTTTTTAACTGGCGCACTAACGCAAAGGACGGCAACGAGCCTACAGGATACTATATCATCATTTCAAGCAGTAGTACCAGAATTTAAACAATGGAAACCTTCAAAATCACCTTGGACGTTGCCACTTCTCAACGTTATCCGTGAAATAGACGGCATAGAGAAGAAATCAGACATGGCACCTCTAGTAGCGGCACAGTTGGTACTTCATCAGCTTCATGTAATGCATAATGAAGAAAACGAAGATATATACAGACGGATCATGCACAGAAGAAGCGTCAGCCTGTGCGGTCTTTATACCCGAAATTCAGAAAAAGAAGATGTACAAATTATCGCACAAATCTTCATCGACGACAGCAGAATTGGTGGCTATCTTTGAAGCAGTTAAGCTTATCTGCGAGAATCCCGAGCCACGAAAATGGGTGATATGCACTGATAGCAAACCTGCTCTTCAGCTAATCAGAAATGTGAGATCACTTTACAAAAATGGTGAAATAGCACAATGTATCGCAGAAACTGTGGAATATGCCTCATGGCAGGGTCACAACATCGTATTCCAATGGATACCCAGCCACATTGGAATAAAGGAAAATGAAGATGCTGATGGTCTCACGAAGAAAGCATTGAAGGAAGGACGGGATTGCACAATCCCTATGTCTGGGGCGGATGTTCGACATTTTATATCGCAAGGAACTAACCATTGTTCAATGGAGAAGTGGTTTGAGAGCCCTAAATCAAAGGAAACGATACTTTATGAAGCCGATCCACACAGAAAATTTTCCATAGCGACAGACCTCCCACGACACCTAGAGACATTGATCCACCAACTTAGATTGGAAGTAGCATACACAAACAGCTTCCTGCACAAGATACATCGATCCAACTCACCGGAATGCCATTGTGGTCATGCAGAAGAAAATTTTCGCCATATTCTTTTGGAGTGCGTTAAATACGCGAATGAAAGAGAAAAATTATAGAACAAATTAGCAAGTTTGGACAGACGGCCCCTCACAATAAAGAAACTACTTGGACCATGGCCTGAGATGTATCTCCAGAAAAAGGCAATAATCTTCCTGACAGACTTTTTAGTGGAGACCGGACTGGACAAGCGCCTATGACTGACAGCCAGAGATGGGTATTATGTAAAATGTGGTCATGTATATACTGACACTAGAGTAGTAAGGTGTGCGTGTAAGTCGTTTATGACTGTGTGAACTGCGTGAAGAAAACTGTGTATTGGCATGCTATTTGAACTGGTTTCAGTGTGCTATTATGTGTTTTTTTTTCTTTTTTTTCTTTTCCGTATTGGTAATTTTTGGGTACCGTTCTGTATTATTATTTTATTTTTCGCTACATAACTTTGTGATATGGAGTAGCCGAGGCAATAGGCACCTCAACCTCTCCACAGCAGAACAGTTAGAACAGAACAGAACAGTATCAGCTTGGTGTGATATATGATAACAAAATGCTTGCCAGTTAGTTATCTCTGCTGAGGGTCTATATGTACAAAAGCGTGGTTTTGGATGATGTATTAGAATATGTAAACGATCACTACGCCTTGTTTCAATGTCTGTTCGCCATGAAACCCCAGATGCAATATCATGTGAGCAGAGCGTGAGGTCTAGGCAACTCGAGTAATGGAAACCCCGTAGGAACCGTCATTTACCAAGCACAATGAAATATCCTGAATTGCTTTTTGTAGGTCCTTTCTACAACGATCGCAGTAGGCACTTCCCCACATGACATTGTGAGCATTGAAATCTCCGCAATATATCACAGCTTTCGAGTACATCTGGAAAAGTGCTGTCAATGCAGAAAGCGAGATATTTGTAGAAGGCTGGAGATAAACGCTGACTACTGTTATGTTTACTCGACCAAATCTATGCTCACATGCTACATATTCTGGATAATCTGATGATGTAGCATTCAACTGTACTGATGGCAAATCTTTTCTTCCACATATCATCGCTCTGCTCCGTCTTGTATTTCTAGAGGACATATACACAACGTAGTTCGATAACCGAAAAGTAGTGTCTACCCCGGCCTCTGTAATACGTAACACTCGAAAAGAGCTCTTAGCCACAATCTTTCTGAAGTCTGTACACTTAGGGCGAATACTATTCGCATTCCACTGGAAGATCGCGACATTTTGATAACAATAATTCATGTCTTACCTGCGCAGTGACTGTTGTGGCTGATTGTAACACTACCTGTTCTATCGACAAGATGGCCTGAACCTCAGGAAGGTTATTAGCCTGCGGGATCATGGCTAGTATGGCTTTGAAAGCCGAGAATATCATTGGTTTGACAAGTTGAGCTATCGACGCAGAGGAGTTTTCTGGTTGCATTACACTTACTGGACGCGATGTCCTCGTGCTTTCTCGGATGTTAACCACGTGGTTACTTTTCTCTTGAGGTCCCTCCTGAGACTCTTGTCGAGCTTGCTGCTGGCTTGTTGATGTCCCTGCATTTTTTTCTTGCTTTCGTTGTCCTGTTGCAACTTGCGCGTACGTCATTACAGGGTCCTGGAGTTTAGGTGCTTTTCCGTCGAGGAGGTCGTGCCGGGTTTATGGTGTTCATTTTGGGCTCAGGTGCGTCATGCTGTTGCGTGCTACCATAGATGATGTCATGTTGATATTGAAGAGAAGCCGCCTCGTTCTGCGGGCATCAAGAGAATGAAGCAGCATGGGGCTCCTTGAAATTGGCGCACTCAGGTTGTGTTATCGATTTGCAGTCCTTCTGATGGTGGTCTTCGGCGCATATTCTGCAGCGCCTTGTTCCTCGGCAGTTCTTCGCCAAATGTCTCAACCGCTGACAATTATAGCAGCGTCTTGCTGGGCCCAGATATTCCTCAACTGGGTGGCTTGTAAATCCAAGGAATACCTTTTCGGGAAGAGGTCTGTCATATCTTTGTAAAATCGCACTTCTCAGTGAAAGCGATGTTACAGTGCCATCTTCTTGTTGTATGTAACGAGTCATGTGTCTAGGCGACGTCACTCCTGCCTCTCGTAAATATTCTGTAAGTTGTTCTTCTGTGTACTCTAGAGGCACATGTCTGATTTTGCCTACATTTCGCATGTGAGACTCCGGAATGAATGGCTTCACCAGCAAACCAGCCACCAGCGCACAAGACAACAAGCTTTCGGCGGAAGCAAGGGAGCTCACGGTGACTGAAAAACTTCCATTCTTGTTCTTTCGGAAAAAACGCACTTTCTCTTTAGCAAGTGCAACAATTTCCAAGGCTAAAACGTTTGGGTTTACTTTCCAGAAGTTTTCCCTTTCCTCTATTGGTCGGAATACCACAGGAATTCCCTCAAATCTACTCTTTTTATATGTTACTTGAGTGAAAGAATCTGCTTCCTCATCAGATTCAATATCTTCATCAATAAAGGAGTAAGTCGATGTCCCCCTCTGCATGTTGTCCATATGCTCTTCGACTCTGACCTTTTTCGCAGAGCTTACTTCGTTCGACATGTCCTCAGCTTTCCTCGTCTCCTCCAAAACGAGTGTTGGTGCCCTAATGTAAGAAACCTTGGTAGAACCTGGTTGACTCACATGCTCGTTGGTTCCGAAGCCACGCTGTGGTAAAGGTGGCCCTTGCCACGCTTGCACATCCTGGCTGGTTCCGTCCACCACGGTGATGGTGAAACGTCGGCGTTCAGTACCGTCACACCACTTCCTGCTGTCAGGAGTCACAGCTGATGTTGTCCTCAACACTGTAAATAGCTTTTCACGGCTGGAAAAACCTAATTTGCAGCTATGTGTATCTTAACGTTGAGTTCAACTGCTTTTACTCGTTCTACCGTAAAGGGGTTTACAAATCGGCAGGGTAATGTACAAAGACAGCTTTCTGGCGCGCTCTACCGTTGAGGTATGCGAGGCTCCCTATAAGCAAACACCGCATATAAGTTTTCATTTTCAAATTACCTGCGAATGTTTGGTAGCTATTTTCTGATGTCCCTGTCGTAAGAACAAATAAATTACGGTAGTGTATACACTATCTTTCGCGTTATGAGATCAAGAATCATACATTCAAAATGGAACTTTTCCGTACTCCTTTATTTCCAAAAAACAGGTTTATATACAGTACACATGCTTTCACTTACAGACTACACGATACAAAGAACTGAAATACAAGACTGCTAGTGTGGTAGCGAAAATGTATTGACGGAACACTTCGCACATTCAAAGTTGTGAATTGTCACACCATTCGTTTAGGTTCCTCGCCGTTGTTGATACTCACTGCATTTTTTGCACAGCTTCATTTCTTCCATTTGGCATCTATTAGACACAATGGTTATTTTCCGTAGCTTGGAATTGCAGGTTATCAGTCACCATAATAGGTGAAATAAGTTTTCCTAGCTTCACTGCAGAGTCCGGCAATAGTCTCTATATAGCAAGTATCCTTGCCGACCCGCTTTCCACTTAAAATGTTCCATACATTTTCTGTGGGGGCGAACTTGCGCAGCGCTATCCCGAATGCGAAGATCATATGTCTTTGGAAGACCTAGAAAAAAAGTTGAGTCATCAGTGTTTCGTAATTACAAATGTGCTCATCTTATTTACATGTATTTCTGTGCACATTGTTCAAGAGTTTTGAGGGCATGTCGCAAGTATTATATAAGCAAAAGAACATTGATTCTGCTATAAGGTTTCGGGAACGATGCCTAATATTAGAAAATTGGTGCCACATAGGCTCGCGCGTTCGACTAAGTATTGTCTCGTATGGGAGAAACCACGGGGACATGCAAGGCGGGTTAAAGGCTGCAATAACAATTATTTGCTCTCGATTAGTACATTTGCGCTCAAATAGATTACGGGCCATTCCTTTCGCTTGTTGCTATTTTAGTCGTCTTTGGCGTGCGATGCCGAGAGTTGGCAGTCGCTTCACATTTCAACATTGTAAAAAAATTCAATGGAACCACGAATCCAAATTTCAATGTGGCTGAGCGGGGACTGATGCTTATTGTGCCGCACTACGCCTGCATACTGCTAACATACTGGTTGGCGACGCATTTCTTCGCGGTATTAAAGGCACTGTGTCGTCACCTGTGGTCAATACGGGCATCAAGTATGTACACATGTTCATACTATCTACTAGTTCACGCTTACATTGTGAAATAAAAAATTGCGTTACACTTCTTCAAAACGTTTTTTTAGCCGCTGGAGCATGATAATCTTGCGAAAGTCATCTTGACAGACTAAGGAGCCTTGAAAGAAGTCTTGAAAGATGGAGGCGTCGTCTGTGGGAGTGTACCCCTTTGTTCGCAAGAAATCGATGACTAGGCTGACGTTCCGTAGACGTCCGCTCTCTGTTGCAACACAACTGCCCTTCTAGGTTCTATATTTCTTCCTTATATGAAGCACAAGATTCAATTTGTCAGTGAAGAATGCGGAGCTAAATCAAACCAAATGAAATGTATATTGCGCTTTCAAGTCATTGAGGCCCAGTATTACCAACATTTTTCTGAACTGGAATTTCTTGGACGCATACTGACCAAATTTTTTCTCAAACTTATTCGGACTCACCGAAATAGTGCACACCTTTGACTGAAACGCACAGCTCGATCAGAGCCTCAGAGTGTGAGTTGACACAGAAGTGAGTTTACGGGACAATGTCTGTTCCAGCAGCATACTATCAATGATTATTTTGGGGGGATTTAGAGTTCGAAAACAACAATACGAATATGACACACACCTTAGTGGAGGGCTCCAGAAATTTTCATTATCTCGGGTTCAAAACTTGCACCTAACTCTAAGCCGACGGTTATTGAGTACTTTTCGCCTTGTCCAAGATGTGGCCACCAGTTCTTCAATTTTATCTCGTGACCTGTGGTACAGTATTTGAGCACCATGATCGCTTTCACACCATGGAGGGTCTTGTCGCAGTATCGATATAAATGCTGGGACATTTTACGTGCCAAAAATAGGATTGTGAGGTAGGCCATTGTGGGGCCTCTATTTTTGGCCACCTTGCGGTACTTAAAGAGCACCTAAACCTAAGCAGATATAGAGTTCTCATTGTGCGCAGTCGTAGGTAGCAGGCAAAAGAAATCCCACTCTTAACTTTCCTGCATCGCTACGTTACAATGTTATACCGGTGTCACACAGGCACTTTTAATCGCGATCAGGCTCGATCCATATTAACCACAATACGGATCAGGTGCTGCTACGTGGTCACTTCTAAAAACAATCAAGTGTGACCAGGGTCAACACTATTGTGATCCGCGCATCGCGATCTGCCTGAGATATCGCAATTTTGCTGTCGTCTGCACTCCCTGACCGAGCTCATTAAAAGCACAATAAACAATAAAATCGATCATAGTTTATTAAAAACGCTTTTAAACAGCTATATGGTTAAAAAATAGAATTCTAAACTGTTTAAATTGGAAAAAATGTCTGAAATATTGCATATGTTAGGATTCTTATCGACCACATGTAGTTACCGGAAAAGCAGATGACAAGCAGATGGCCGTTGCCTTCTGTGCTTAGTTCAACTCCAGCACCATCGGGGCTATTGAAGCAGCTCAAAGGAAACTTATTATGAGTGTCGCCAGCTTTCCGACTTCGTCGTTTGCACGTCGTTTGCACCCCAGGTAATCGAAATTTCTGGAGTCCTCCACAACGGCGTCTCTCATATTCATATGGTGGTTTCGGGACGTTAAACACCACAAATCAATCGATTTCCGACTTCATCGCAACGTACGCGCCCTTTGTGGTCGAATGAAGCTACCTTCACAATAAAATACAGCTGGCACGAGGGACTGGAGGACTTGAGGCGCCATAAGCGACACTCTGGCGCAAACAGCGAGATTGACGCTTCGCTGTGACTGGACGGCTACGAGCAGGGGCCATCAGGCATAAAAGCGAAGGTTAAGAATCTCACACAGCAATACAAGTAAGGGCAACGAAAACTCTATCTAAATATAGATTTGTGAAATTACTTTTGAGGTGACATGCAGTGTTTTTTGACGTTCGAGCTATTCTTGCACAAAGAACATTGCTGATAAAGGGCTCTATAGAAACATCGAACACCGAGTTTTGTCAGCGACAGGTTTTACGGCATGGAAGAACCACCTGCTGCATTTAGTCTAATCCACGCTCGAACCGGATGAGATTGGGCCGAGTAGCAGCGGTTATAAAGTTGATCTCGATCAAGAAAACCGATCATGATCACCCTGATCGCAATTAAAAGTACCCGTGTGACACCGATATTATACTTCAAAGTAATGATGCCCTTCTACATTACATTTCTTGTTTCAAAAACTATTTCGCGCATGGTTATTACTTTGTTAAAATTGGGATTCAAAAGTATAGGTCATTTTTTACTAATATCTTTTTGGGGGAGTATAACACTAATTTATTGTAAATTATTTACTACCTTCAAGTTCAATTTCGCTAGAGACTACAACCTGAAGTATTGGTAAACTACAACTCACCTTTCATAGACGTTGTTACCTTCAAGACTGCGCAGGTGAGGTCTCGAGACATATAGACAATATCTTCGGTCTGCTTAAGGGTACCACCTAATATGACAGAAATATACAAGATGTATAGGTGAACTATCAGAGAGATGGCTTATCACGACATCCTCCTCAAGTTATTGCAGGTGCATATAACGTGTGACGTATTTTCTACGACGTACAAGTAAGTCGAATTACTTGAAGTATTACAAATTGTGTGCTTCCTTATTGGTCCATCATCTATTACCTTATCTCGCATGAGGACGCGAAATTTTAAATCACTATAGTGGATGCTCGAGTGGTAACAGTGTGCTCTACATTATTAAATGAAGAGTATTACAGCTTAAATCCAACGTCTGCTTCCAGCCACTGCAGGTACCCTGAAATGAGGTGCGGATAGGCAGCGCAACTCTGTTGGTTTCATTGCTTACCGGTGAGCCATGGCGAATCACGAGCTATACGATACCGGGCTGCTGACCCAACAGTTACGTGCTTGGTCTCGATCACGGCAGTTACAATGTAAAGTAGACTAAATGGCAGAGGCCCGTGTAGTGTCCCATGTGAGCACCCTTTAATAACACTAGATAGTCGTAATTTCCGGAATCCTCCACTACGGCATACTTTAAAATCACATTTGATTTTTGGACGCGAAGATCCGCATATTCTTTTCGTTAGCTTACCATCTCCGCTCTGAGCCGATCCAAAACATCTCTTCATCCACTGTGTCGGACACCCACGCGCGTGGTCTGAGAGGCTAGGATGTTTTATTTAACATTGTTCTATGAAGCAGCAGGCCCACCAACGTGCTGCTAGATAGACAATTAAGACTAAGCGATAAGAGAAAACATGACTGCCTGTTTTCGAGTGGATGTGCTTCGTCACCCTACCAGTCTCGTCGTACATTCACAGCGCATTTGCGACAAGCGGATATGGCTTCCTTTTGCTAAAGCATTTGAACCTAATGGAGCGCCGGCCTCTGCTTCCAGCTTTTGGTGATTTTTACCAACCTCTTGCGTGGCTAGAAAGTCTACGTTAAGGGCCAGTAAACAGGCCCAAGCTAAAAAAATTCTTGCAAAGAGAAATATGTGCACTTTTACTTTGCGAATATCCTGCCGCAAAAATTTTGCGAATACGTGCTATATAAGGAAGTTGCAGAGACTAGAATATCGCGTTCAGCTGGTGTCGAATTTTCTTGCGGTCTCGCCACCTCTCTCCTTCAGAGGGAGGTGAAGGCGTGGCCCGTCGTTGTGACTCCGTCCACATTGGCAATGTGACAAGACGTCAGCGATTGACGTCATCCGCGAACTCGATCAGTCGCAACGCAATTCCATTTGCTGCGATGCCTGGTTTACTATTCACCCGGTGCTGATGCTTCTCCGCAGCCCAGTCACTCGCTTTTCAGCCGACAACAATTTGCAGCAAAACCCGGACATGAAGTTGGCCCGATTTTTCCGGAGTTCAATTTTTGGGAGCAGACTTCGCGCCATGTGGGAGCAGCAACACGAAACACAAATTGTGCTCTTAATAGTGAGTGTGCTGGGCAAGAGGGGGCGCGACAGTCTGCTCGCTACCAAAAACTGGGTCAGTGAAGAGTTTCAATTTTTATGCATGGAGCCTATGGGAAGCTTCGCAACTCGTATAACTGAATATCCCTTTCATAGTTGTGGGTGGGAACAGCAACTTCCGTTGACTTCACTACTGTGTTGTTGAGGCCTGGTTTAGACCAATCAACGAGCTGCATGCTGCGTCACTTCGCCCATGGCCAAGTTGTCACAGCGCGTGCGAGGGACATTGGTCAGGCGTAAGAAAGGCGGGCAGGAATTTTTTTTCGAAATGGGGGTTCTGCGTGGTGCGCAGCTCTGTAATATTCAGAAAACGTGATTGCGGCGGTCCACTCTACGAATTACTGAGCTTTTTTTGGTGGTGTAAAAAAAGTTGGAGCCTCTTTATTGGCCCTTTAAGCCTCTAAAATAAAACGATTCGCGGTTTCTTAAGCTTTACGCATTTAATGTACACTTCACCCTCTCCACATTTATCCACCCGCGGAAACTGTTGCCACCACTCCCTCGGCTACGGCTGCATCGTTATGATTAGAACACTATCCGATTCTTTGGAACCATGGGTCGGCAACCTGTGACCCGAGTAGCAGTACTATGTGGCCTTTAGGACAACCTTCGAGCCTCCGCCCTTCCCTGTTTGACTCCCTATTCGAGGACCGATGTGCTAGTTTGGACCTCAAATGAAGCATTTGCCTGTAATTTGTACTTGTAAACTGCAACCAGTGGTAATGGCACTAAAATAAACATGACTCCAACTTAAAACTTTTGATACGAACGTGTCTTAGGTCGGGGTCTACCACGGCTCCTGTGACGTACTTCCATCATAGATTTGACGTTCTCAAATGTATACAAACGCGCTGTGAAAAGAAAAAGTCTAGAAGAAAAAGTTCTGTCATCGGGCGTTGAACTTACAACCTTTCGCTCCACAGCGGGTGGTGCAACACCTCAAGATCACGAAGTGTATTTTGTCTGGCCTGCTAACGGCACACTACTTATATGCACTACATACCGTTCAGCAGTCTTCGAAGCACCGCAACTTGAGCATGTTTTCGTGATCAGTAGCGAGATGGCGCGAAGGGCGAGCTTTGGGCGCGCTTTAATGGTCGTCGGCCTTCGAGTTTCGATGCGCGCGCACCTCCACAGGGCGTGGCATCTCGTGCGCGCACGCTTATCTCATGATTCAGAAGAGGACGAATGTCACTTCACTCGCAGCCGCGACCACGTCTATTAAATGGGCGTGCTACTCACACACGAGGAAGTACTAATTTCGGCAGTTGTTGTTCGCCATTGTCCTGTGGGTACTTGGGCCTTCGTTTCGAGCGTCTTTCTGCTTGAGCTTCATACTTCAAGTCTCGGGCTGCTTGCCTTTCTTTGTGTGACAGTACAACTTTTGGCTGTTCCACTCAAATCTTAGCCCTTGTGCAGAAACAATGCATAATAAACGCTCACCCACTTCTGTGAAGACGCGTTTCCCTTTCGTGTTATTCCAACTCTTACATGATTGATTTGTGGGGTTTAACGTCCCAAAACCACTGTCTGATTATGAGAGACGCCGTAGTGGAGGGCTCCGGAAATTTTGACCACCTGGGGTTCTTTAACGTGCACCCAAATCTGAGTACACGGGCCTACAACATTTCCGCCTCCATCGGAAATGCAGCCGCCACAGCCGGGATTTGATCCCGCGACCTGCGGGTCAGCAGCCGAGTACCTTAGCCACTATACCACCGTGGCTCCAACTCTTACATAGAAGTACCGGTGACGTTTTCTTACATTGTCATCAATTCTAATTCGCTGATTTTTTTCTCTTTGCCCCAGGTTATCCATTCTCCCCCCCCCCCCCCCCTCAGTAAAATTGGCTTCATGGAACTTGGCGTTCCTACTCAAAAGGCTGTCGACCCCTGCTTAAAACTATTCTGGCAAGATTGCACGCCGACACGAGCAGTCTTGTCTGTTATGGAGCAAATGCTACGTTCACTGCTCAGGCAAGAACTTTCTATTATTCACGTATAAAGTACTACGTGTTTCACCGACGATCATATTATCGACCAGTGGCTTTCGTGCCCGTTGTGATTCAACAGCAAGCATTGTTCGTACTTTAAATGCTTCTTTTTCAAAACAAAGGGCCGTCCTATAAAAATGTCACCTTACCATCTGCAGCTTGGCCTCCTTCGCTGTTATAATTACGAGAGAGTATTGCATGTCCATTTATCAGTCTAGTGCAGTTACCTACCACACAAACAGCTTTTTCGGGCTTGTCTTACTACCAGTTTGCTTTCTTGCCTTTACAATCAACTGATATTGTCGTGCTTTTCTTAACCCAAGCGCTAGTCGAAGAAGAGAGCCTTTGACAACAGAGCAAAGCCAGTGGTTGATTATGCTTTAGAATAAGAACCCTTACAGTCATTGCGACTGGTGGCAACTCAGGTTGAGAGATGTAATAGTTCTTGGCAGAAGAGTATAACTGCACCAGGTGCCACACAGTACAAATTGCATAAGATATGAGTGCTTGCAAGCCATCAAACCTCACAAAGACCTCAACTACAATTCATTATCTGATCACCACTATCAGATGATGAATTGTAGTACCAGGCTAATAGTGCGCTGTTGGCAGTAGGCTACACTAACGCGATAGCGTTATAGAGCTCATTTTGCTGAAATTCCAGCTTCAGGAATGTAAACAGGTATGTCTACATGAGTGCATTTCCTTACAGGCGCATGGTGGGTAGCTCGATGCTTCGCTAAAATCCTGCTTCACCACCAATGCCGCGAGCATGGACGTTCTTTTCCGTATGAGGCACGATTGAGAAGTCTACTGAGAATCGAAGAATGACAATGGAATGAGGAAATAATGTTGACGGAGCCCGAAAACACTATCGCGTTGCTTCAGGGTATACCTTAAGTAGAAAACTGCTTCTTAACAATGTGTTTCGGGCCCCGTTGCTTGAACATATGGGTAGCTTAAGCACCCTTGAAATTACCAGAAATGTGTGCAACTGCGCTTGTTGGTAACCCGCTGCTACATTTCGTTTTCGGAAATTTTTGGACAGTGATGTCACATGAATTCGCATCATTGCGGAAATCTTTCTTGTGCTTGTGTCGGAGAAAAGTTGCAAGGGCTGTATTACCTGGAGATGTGATGGTCATGCGGTTTTTCGTATCGAATCAAGTTTAGCCAAAAGTCTGTAAATAAACCTGTAAATAGTAAATAGAAAAAAACAGATCAGCTCCTAACTTACCTCTGAACTTATCTAGAACCTTACTTTTCACTTGCGCGGTAATACGATCGTTGAAACTGGACATATTCGGCAGTCATCACTATGTACAAATCTGCTTTACATTCAATACTCGTCATTTCACTTGTAAGGTAGGTCCATACGGGAGCAGTCGTATTTATAAACTGAAAAAAAAAGAAGTAATGACGAATATTTCAAAAGCGGAGAGAAATTAGACTGACTGCTTTCATAGTGTCAAATTTGCACAGGAAGTGGTAGTAAATAATCGTAAATGGTATGGCTGCTAACGTGACTTTTTCATTGCTTTTGTGGACACTCTTTCATACGCTTGCAATACATTTCCTTCAAGATGGGCGCTTGAACGATCCTTCGTTTATAAGCGCGAAGGCATGTCTATGTCTACAGTTGCTACCTTTCATAAAAGAACTTGAAGCTTTCACAACGTTACATCAACTATAAAAAACAAAGAAAAAAGGTAGGAGACATATTGAAGTGCTTCAATCTAATCAGCTACATTTTTAGCCAGCCCTCGTCTGTGTCCTAATGCTTCCTCCGCCTATTTTTTTTCGCCCTGCTAAACACATTAGAAAGGGAGTACCAACTTACCCAAACATTCGCTTGTAATGTGTTCAAGGTGTTTAAAATCGTTTGCCTATTTCCGCGCCTATTCTGCGCCGACCGTCCCCGCCTCGGAGCTGCAACATACATTTACGATACATTGTTTTTGTATGATCGACCCTTAAGGAGGACATGATGTTCAAATCTCAACAATATCGTCCTAGCTACCATCCACACCCTAAAGCTTCCATCTTACTAGCTACGAGCTCTATTACTCCTAGCCTTCATTCTCACTCCCACGGTCCGACGCGTGCTTACCCACGCATTAAAAAAAATGAAGGCAGCTACGCACCAGCAGTGCTTAACCTGAAGGAAGAGCGGAGGAGCAGGGCCGCCTTCTGCCTCTCTCTGCTAGGTTCTTTTACATCTTTCTATTTGTCTTTTCCAGCTTTTTTTCCAGTGGTTGTGCCTGCGTTACGCTAAGCGGCCTCAACATACTCCGAGCTTGATACTAGTGCTTTCAGCTTGATATCCGAGCTTCATAAAATGCTCCGAGCTTGATATCCGAGCTTGATAATGTGCTCCGAGCTTGATATCCGAGCTTGACAAAGTGCTCCGAGCTTGATATCTGAGCTTGATAAAGTGCTCCGAGCTTAAACTTGTTAAAGTGCTCCAAGCTTGATATCCGACCTTGGTATACGAGCTTGATGATGTCCGATTATCAGTAAGGGGCTCGAAGAACAAGAGGAAGTAGACTTCTTGGCGCAAGTGCGCGCTCAGTGTACGACAGATCGCTAGGCTGCACCTGGCTTTGCCCGCGTTGCGCCACGATACATGAGATGGTGACAGCAAACGACAGTGCGGGCCCCTAAAGTGTTCGGCTTTTAATGTCAACTAAACCTGTAATTACGACACATTTAACTCAAAAGCAGAAGTATAAGGCGCAGAAACAGCGCGAAGGTCTAAGACAGTGACCTAACTTCAGAACCCTACCCATTGTGTACTTCATCTTGGTGCCGCCACTTGGTGTCATTGTCTACCTATTGAACGGCTACTACAACTGCATTTTGCTGTGAACGATACGTTTACGGAGCCAAGAAAACTGAACAATAGTCACTTACTCCACATTATCTGTGTCATTGCACGCTAATAGTGCACGGTTGGCAGTAAGCTGCACTAACGCGATAGCGTTAAAGAGCTCGTTTCGCTGAAATTTTTGTGCTGGCGTCGTTGGTTGTGAGCGAAAAATTATCATTTTGTCCGTCACCAAAAAATGAGGAAAAGTGCGAATATTATTATTAATATTAAGAATTTCCTGTTCTCAGTGAGGATCGAACCCACGTCGTTTGCGCGTTAAGCAGGTGATCTACCAAAGAGCCACAATATTTCACGAAGCTGCTTCGGAAAGGAACACTATAACGGCGCAATGAACTATCAAGGCCCAAAAGTGTCTGAGGACACCGTGTTGCGAAGTACATGACATAGACACTTGCGGCCACTCTATACTGATAACTTTTTATGAAGTCAAATACGATGGTGGACTCCTGAAGGCTTTTTGTATGGTTAAAAACGTTTAAAGCAATGTAAACCGAAAACTTCTACGTCTCAGAAAAGTTTTCAGAGGCCTATTTCTTGTTACAGCATGAAGCACTTCGTTGGACACCGACATGTGGCATTTAACGACTGTTCTGAGCAAAACTAGTAAATGGCATGGCAATTTCTTTACACGTGAAAGGACACATAATAAATTCTGCACTTCGGCGGCACGGCCAGGTTGTTGACAAAAAAAAGCGTTAAGCTTTTTACAAGTCATTGGGCATAAATTAATATTGCAAAGGTACTTCACTGTAGCATATTTACCTCTCTGATGTCACGAGCATCCTTCCAAACCCACCAGTGACATTCGAACATCGCCGCACAACCGACGAAAATTAATGTTGCAAGAAGTTGATTTTTCAGCATTGTAAGCTCTCATGAAGTTGGAACGCAACGCAGTATTCCTCAGATGCTTGCTTCTTGTGCTAAATCACCAGTCGCAAAGCATTTATGGGCACATCATTTTATTCGCACCCACGACGTTTATTGTGCAACAGGTGTGTGGCTGTAGCTTTGTCACTTAGCACGTGTGAGGCTGAATTAATACTTTTTGTGTTCATAAATTTTTTGTTGAAAAGTTCTTGCTTTTCCCGGTGATGTATATGTACGGTCTTTGTTCTCATCCTCGATTATTGTCATATTGTAATATCCCAAAGGCAACAACGCCAACCTATACTCTTGCACATTGTACGGCAAAACATTTCGCTTCAGAAAACATCTGCTTCGGTAACGAGTGTTCATTGAAAATATTCGGCTTTCCTGCTACTGTTACAGCAATGTGAACACTGTTTAGCACTAGCTGAATCTTCGATTGAACCATAGCAAGTTATGCGCGCCGCCAAAAAGTAAATTCACTTTAGGGACGACATAATATTCACAGGAAGCAATCTATTTCCCTTAGAAGTGCAAGAACACATCATCCTGAACACGACGAATATGCAGGTTATTTAGACAGTATTGCATGCTTCTTCCCGTTGCTTTGCTTTTTACATGGAAATAGAAAATAAACGAAGGAGCGTTGTTCTTTTCATATGTCCGTGCTTTCTTAGCACACAATGAGCTGTTCTTTTCTGGAAAGGGACCTCGTACCTTTCTGTGTAGCACTTCCGGCAGTTGTCAGCCTATCAGTGAGAAGTAGGATGATGATGCCTTCAAATATTGCACGTACCCACTTAGGGAACCGACCAAGAATTGATTACGTCAGTTAATAACACATTTTTATGAGAAAAGTAACACATGCCTCTCAATGAAAATGTTCTTCTGCCTGTTCAATAACGAGTGCTGTCGGGCTACTTCGAGCAAAACTTTAAAAAAAATATTTCACAGGCACAAAGCAAGACCATGAACGATAGAAAGAACACGAACACGGGCACGTTCGTTTCTTTCTTTCTTCTTTTTTTTTGTTGGTTCGTTGCTCAGCAAAACTCGGAGGACAGACTGAAAGTCAAAATAAGCCTACCCTACAAACTACAAGTAATAATTAGTAACTCATGAACTCGATAATCATATCATATTATCTGCTTTAGTGCATACATATTATTGTTTCTTCTGCGCGTGACATAATGCTACCACATGTTTTGATTTTACTGCATGGAATTACCGTTAAAGAGCCGTTGCATACGACTCTAGCACAATTTGCTTCTTCCCGCTTGCCTTCCTGTCTATTGAAGTCGATTTGTTGGCGATGTGACCTTGGACAGCTTACACAACGAAAATACCACCCCTTAAAAACGAAACATCAATAAAATCAAACGTTTGCGAGGCAAATAGTTTATGTGAGCGTCGTTAATGAATCTATTTGCATGTAATTATATTTTCTTGGGTCACGCGTATCATAGCCATCACATAATTGTAAAGCATGCCGCATGGAAGGCCTCCGGGAGTTTCCACATCGTGAAGTGCTTTGATCTGCACGTAAATCACAACAAATGAGCATATGGGCACTTCACCTGTGCCAAAAAGGCCGGGCTTATAGCATTTCGTCTGTACCAAAACGCTCACTTCATTTGGGTCAGCAGCCAATATCGGCAACCACTGTAACACCACGGAGGCCGTGTATTTCTCTTGCCTTTGACATTTAAATGCAAGAGCATGTCTGTTCCGACAAAACAAGTAGATTGATTTATTTGTAATGCGGGGATCCGACGTAGGGTCTCTTGCAAAAGCACTGAGCGTCTTATCGACCGGGCTACACACGTGACATCGGTGAATATATGTCACATTAGGGCGTTGTATTGAGGATTCCCGAATTAAGCACACAAAAGGGCTGAAATGCACCAAACAACTACCCACGAATTCGTCAGTATACGCCACCTTTAAGTAGCCCCAACTCTGTACTTCTATTGAGACTAAACTATAAACGTGCACTGCAATTCACACTAGTTGCATGTATGACGTACTTCTCTCCCTTTATTTGTACTTCCACGTAATTACACACCAGTTGTTATACTACCGTGTAACAGGTCTGAAAGACAACTTTAAAGTTTTGGTTAAAAGACTACGAAACTTTTCGTTTCCTTCCTTCAAATCAACTTTCCATAGTCTCTTCTCAAACGTTCCTATATTAGGTGTGTTCCTAAAAGGTGTGTCTGTAATCACCCATACAACTGCTAAACCTTTTATTCATTTTCAGAATGATTAGTTATAAAAAACCACTACAAACAATGAGGTCACAGATAGAGGAGAAATTGTCGCACACAGTTGTAATGCATAATAATCATCAGGCTCTGACAACGTTACCTGCCCAGCCCCCCCCCCCCCCCCATTCTTTTTTTTTTCTTGACATCTCCTAGGAAGTCGGCCAGCCATGATTATTTTCTCGTACACACTGCTCTTTTGCTATTTCGTAGAGTTACGTACATTCTATGTCCTTGCACTGCACATTGTGCGGCTCTTAACTTCTGAAGTTTCTTTGTTCGTTCGTTGGGCTGTTCCCCCCATGTGCCTTAACTGGAGAGTGTGCAATGGCGGCGCGCCTCCCGCTTTAGTGACAGTTGTAAACTGTCAGCCATTAGGTAAGGAAGTTTATCATACGCACGCCAGGTCATCTGTATCGATGTCGTTTACATGAGGCGGCTACCCTGTAGCAAATACACAGTGCATATTCCAGGTAGTGTCCTCATCTATAGTTAGTTAAACTCTTGGGGGTGCATTTGGACGCGTGGCGTGCAAGCATTTATGGATACAAGTGAGCGCACTAATCGCGATTGATGCTGCGAACAATATTGCCAATTCAGCAAAGTTGCGCACGGTTGCTTTTACGGAAGGTTCTGTGAACATGGTAACCTATGGTGAAGCATTATTTGCAGTGCTATTTTAATTGCACTGTCAAAGCTACCGTAAAGCATTGCCGTGAATCATGCCCGGCTGACCATACTTACCAAAACGTTACCGCTCAGCCGCAATAAAGCGAGTGATAAGCTGGTGCTTCCCGCGCGCGACTTCATATACACACGTGTACACATGAGAGCGCCTTCAGTTATAGTCTACGAGCTGCTCACGTCGTAAATCTTCTCTAGGGTGAAAATCTAGGAGTGACATATTGAACAGCCACATTAAATAGCGTACAACAGGCCCGCTGCAAAGTTCCGTTGCATGCTTTGGATGTACTCTACGCGTTCATCGAATATTTTACGAGGACACTTCGAACGATGAGTGCACGTGCTTACAATATTTACACTAGTGCAGCAGTTAAAGGCTACAACAGCAAACATGAAAAACCAGAGTGATCGAGGGTAGCTATAGCTATGGCTATGCTCGAAAGCAAACGGGAACTTATCTACAGCGACTCCAGACCGGCCATCAAATCCTTCGAACGCGGAGTTACGTACGGCGGTACGTATCCTGCGCAGAGCGGACCCGAGTGCCCTGAAGCACCACACTGTCATCTGGTTCCCCGCCCATCTCAGCCAGGTGCCGGGTGCCCTATCTAACCTCAACGAGATCGCCCATGATGCAGCACGCGCACTTACTGACCGCACCACTACAGGGCAACCCCATCTTGCTGAGTTAGAGACCAATAGGGATGCACCCATTACGTACAATAACATAACAAAGCACTTTTACCTTGAACGCCACATTTTTCCACCCCCACATCCGAAACTTAACAGACCGCAGGCATTAACCTTGCGCCTATTACAGACACACACGTGCTCAAACCTTGCCGCGCTTCACGTTTATTATCCTGATGCATACCCCAGTGACACATGCCCATCATGTGACACACGGCGACACTCGCACACATACTCTGGGAGTGTAGAACAACTCCTCCCGACTCTCCCTCAAACAAGTGGGAGAGGTCCCTCAGGAGCTCACTTCTCGCCGACCAGCAATGAGCCGTTCATAAGGCCCACGAAGTGGCCGTCAGGTATCCCCAGTCGGTCCCTACTTGGGAGACGCCCGCTACGGGCTAAGCGCACCCTGCAGGACTGAAATAAAGTTTTTTTTTCATTCCATTCTATCGAGGGAAATTGACTTCAATGAAAGTATCCTGAGGAGGCCGAATAGGGACTGTTACGACCTCTGGGTCATCCTGAGGGTGCTGGTAGCCGAAGGCTTGTAGTGATGTCCCGGGCCCTCTGGACCACCTGTTGTTGCTGCTTGTATTCGTTGCTTGTCAGGCCTTCCTGCCGAGCCTCCTGGGTGTTGAATCGTGCTGCGCTTTGGGTAGGACGCAGCCAGAGCATGCGTTCGAAGTTACAGTAGCGATGGTCACAAAACGCACATGTGAGTAGTGTGTCGGGAATCACTCTGGGTAAGCTGGCTACGTCACTCTAATCGCAGGTACGAAGAGGGAATGCCGTCAGCGCATTGAGAACCATAATGATTTTTTAGGTGAAATAACTTTTGCTGACAGATGCCAAGTATATGAATATTGCGACAGGGATTCACGGCTAGTTTGTAGGAAACTCACTAATAGTTTTTCTTGATTGAACGTGCACATCGTTCTGCCTTGCGATCCTGATATCTTCCAACATTTTCGTGCGTTGAAAGCCGTGTCGACAGCAAGAACTTTGTTGTAAAATGCATCTGCATGTTTGGTGTCAGATGGTTAGGCCGAAGCTATCCAGTTGCCCGCAGTTGGGCACCTACATCCTTCTCCATGCTGCCACAAAAGCGTCTAGTTTTTTAATGGCTTTATAACTGTGGTGGCCGTGCTCTCTGCTACACTGGGTGCGATATGCACGATGACATGATATTCACGCCCCTGGTGGCCACCTGTTTTTATATTAGCTGCAATATTCGATAGAAGCCAAACCAGCAGTGTGAGAACGCTACGTGTGCACCCTTGCTCCCTTCGAGTGTGCTAATGTCAATGCTACCGGTGGAACGACAGAACCCCTTGAAAGAAGACATACTCCAACGAACACGCCTGTGGGAGGTGCCTGTTAAGTTGGCAGAAGGATAGCGCGACAATCAGCTCATGTCGCAACACTGTTAAAATGTTGCCTGAGTGGTGGCGCTGACGTGTTCCTACGCAGTTCTTCGTTGATAACCGCGGCAAA